CCCCCCCCCCCCCCCCTCCCTGAACACCCAAGGCCCTGTTCTATTCTGGGGGCCATCAGTCCGGTTGCTTATTACCGGCAAGCATGAAAATGGGGAGAGAAAGTAGAGAAAAAGGGTCATCCTTGCCCTTGTTGCGGCACTAGCGGCCCGTACAAGGGAAAGGTTGCCCCAAAGCGTCCCCCTCCCCCCAAACGATGGCCTTTCTTCAAGGATAGGCTTACTTTACTGGCAGCACCCAGTCATGCCACAGCACAGGAGAATCCCAAGAACTGCAGGGTGTGCGGGGGCCGTTCTTTCTTTCTTTCTTTTCATCATTATACTTCCTTTTGGGGGGGGGGCCCTCGCAGCGGCAAGCGTTTGTGACCTTGTTGGGTTGATGTCTACCGCAGGTTAGCGCTCTTCGGGACGAAGAACTGGACGAGGGATTTTTCAAAGCGCTGTCAAGGGTTCAGGAGATTCATGCCAACTGTAAAGTCCTACTCCGAACGCATCATCAGGTAAGGAGGTGCTGGACTCTGGGCTCTTTTTTTGGGTGTTTTAAACTGTTTTTAGAAAAAAAGGGCGACAGTCTTGAGGTATCATGCTGTTAAACAGACTGGTTCCTGGCGACTCAGAAGTATTTTTCATTCTGGTCGTCTAGTTTCCATGGGGATTCGAACTCATGTCTTCATGTCAAAACAGTTCATGGGTCGTACGAGCTGGGCTAGGCCCCCGTTGGGACTCTGGTGGACTCTCTCTTTCAACTCTTTGTTGTTCGATCTGCTGAGTCGTGCCGACGTGACAAACTTGTGGTTTTGAAATGATGTCTGAAGACTCGGATTTTTGTCCTCAGGGTCTTAAACCCCTCTTAAAATCAACCACACCTGCCGCCAAACACGTCATATCCTGACCCTGGAGTAGTGAGCCACCGTCTTCACCCAAATAGAACGCCCGTCGCCCGGTCATTATAGCTGTATTTGAGGCAACATTCATTCTAGATACATCGATAAAGACCGGGTGTTCTATTCGGGTGAAGACGGCAGTTTGGAGGGTTGGGCCTGCTGTCGGGAACTATGTGAGTCTGCGAGATTGGGAAGGGGGGGGAGCGGGGCTGTGCGTTCCATTGTTTTTGAACCCCTCTTCATGCCAGGACAGTGATCGTGATACTTGACCATTTGAACGAATTATATACTCAATGAAATTACAAGCTCTTCGTAAATAAAGAAGTGTTCTTTCTAAATCAATAATAGCGATTTCATTTCGTAATCCGTACAGATATGGCTGAAAGTCTGAAGTAGGTGTACGATTACCAAAATGTGCTCCCCCCTCCCTAACTTGCTTATTTTTCCCTCCCTAAGCTCATGTTTTCCCTCCCTAAGCTCTTTCATCCCCGCCCCCCCCGCCCCCCTAAGCTTCCCTTTTTCCCCTCCCTAAGCTCCTGTTTTAGGCAATATGTCTGTTATGTCACAAAAGTGTCGGATTCCTTTGGTGTGTGTTCTGTTCTAGACTTGTAGTGCTTTTTCTACCACCAGTAGGACTGTGGCCTCTGAGAACCCCACACTACCGGGGTGGTTCTAGTGTATTCTACCAGCACGGTTCTAGTGCTTTCCACCAGCGGTAGAACCGGGAAAAAAAAGAAGGAAAAACAAAAACCAACAACTATCCCCTTCTATCACCAGGAAGTACAAAGGAACTTGTCACTGAATCAGCATGCCCCTCTTTCCCCTCCCCACCCTTCTTCCTCCCGTCCCCCAACGCCCACGCCTCCCTTTTCCAGGTTTAAACTTTGTAGTGCATGTTTCGAGCTATGGTCCTCCATGAGTTCCATTTCCACTAGTTCCCTTGTCATATGAATTTCATTCCACGAGTTCCATGAGTTCCATGAGTTCCATGAGTTCCATGAGTTCCATGAGTTTCATGAGTTTCATGAGTTCCATTCCATCAGTTCTGTTCCATGAGTTTCATTCTGGCATGAGTTCCACGAGTTCCATTGTCCTATGAGTTCCATTACATCAGTTCCAGTCCATGAGCTCCACTCTGCCATGAGTTCCACGAGTTCCATGAGTTCCACGACTTCCACGAGTTCCATTGTCCTATGAGTTCCATTCTGCCATGAGTTGTTTCGACGAGTTCGAGTTCCGACTCTTCCGAGAGTTCCACTCTATGAATTCCCAGTCCATTGGGATGTACAAGGAAGTTGTCAGCGGAGCACCAGAGTCCCATGAGTTCCATTCTACAATGTATTTCAGAGCCCCACTGTGAAGCCTCTTTCTTTGGGAGATATTGGGCAAGTTTGCCACAGAACCAAACTCCTCAGCATGCTTTTTTCTTTCTTAAGACATCGTTTGTGGATTTATGAGATAAGAATTTGTAACTTAATTTTTTTCTTTCACGTGTTTGCAGAGAGCAGGCTTGGAGTTGATGGATGTGATGGCAGTTTATCAAGAGGGAGCATACGAGCGTCTTTGCAGGCATGAAAAACAACCCACCACTCCTCATTCTGGTGCTTATCCTTCTCCTCCTCCTGGTCGTCCGCCTCCACCTCCTCTTTCTCTCCCTTGCAGAAGGTGGTCTCTGGTCATAACAGGTGTGAATCTGTGTGTTGCACTGTAGGGGTTTCTGTAGCTAGTTTCTTAAAACCCTTCTATTGGTCCTGTTGCCCCCCTCCCCCCCCCCCCCCCCCCCCCCCCCCCCCCCCCCCCCCCCCCCCCCCCCCCCCCCCCCCCCCCCCCCCCCGCCCCGCCCCGCCCCGGCCCGCCCCCTTGCCCCTGCCTCTTCACCCTCCCCGCCTTCCAAAGTCGATATGCCAGGGAAGAGACCCCTGGTTATCCGGCAGTCTGGAATCAGATCGAGCGCAACTGCATGTAAGCACACCATGGTTGCATACCTGCCGACCGCCGACCGTATTGCAGCCGACCAGTAGGGTGTATGGGCGTATTTGGGGTGGGTATACCCCTAATAAGCCCATGTATAAATTGGTTTTTAAGGGGTGAAAGGGGTTAAAGAGGGGCGCCTTAACCTGCTTCTGTTTTTTGTTTTTTTTTAATCTTCGTTTTCGGGAGGGATTCTGATGTGCTCCACAGCCAAAAGTCGTTTGTATTGCAATTCTAGTTCTACACAACATTTTTTTTCTGTTTTTTTTTTAGTTGTTTTTTTGAACTTTTTTTCTTTGGCACTGGGGCTGCCCGAAACCCTGACCGGGTACAAGTTGGGTGCCCTAGCGCCCGGGCAAACAACCTGGTCCTGAAGCTCTCTTATATATCTTTTTCAGTTCCTTGTCTGATTCCCGTCGGATTTGAACTTGGGGGTCTGTTTATCGGCAGTGCATGGGTGTACTTTTCAGCCACATGCATGGGCTCTAGTTCTGAAGCTCTTTCTCCTCCACGTTATCACAACTTAGCAGTACACTGATCCCTACCGATGAGCGATATGGACCCTGGTGATATCATCGACATATGGATGCCTCCCACATGGGGCTGCCATTCGGTTTAATAGGTATGAAGTACTATGAACTGACATTACAGACTTCACCATTCCACACACATACATGCAATGAATTGCAGGGAGATGCGGGCTGTACACTAATTTTGTTGTTGCCTGTTTTGTGCTTTCCGGGATTCGATCCCGTGACTGGTATTGTGTGTGTGTGTGTTTGTCTGTGTGTACACTAACTGTGTTTGTTGGTTCCCTGTTTTGGGCGTTGGAGGACTTGAACCCGTGACTTGTAGTGTGTTTGTAGTGTGTGACTGTTTTTGAGGTTTATTGGCCTTGAACCTTGAACCTGTCGCTAGTAGTCTCTACTTCGTAGTCTTAGGCCACTCAGCCTTGTTGTTTTGTCCTTTTCTGCCCTTCTGGAAACTGGTAGGCCCGTAGGTATTTCTTTGTGTGTCCTAGCCTTGGGTTCCCTTAGTCTAGGATTCCATCTAGATGCATGTAGGTAGATCTTGACTGTTGGGCCGCAGATGTTTTCTGTTTGGACGGTCAGATAGGTCTGTAGGTGGTTACTGTGTTGTAGGTCTAAGGAATTTCGGGTTCTGCTTCGTCATTTTTTTTCACAAAGTGCTGCTGGAGGTCGCGGCTGGAGCTGCGCTAATTCAAAGTGCCCGTTCGTCTTCCTCGTTGAAGGGAAGTTGACGGCCATAACTGGGCTTACCTGGCTGGTGCGGAATTGGCCCAGGGACATCAGGCCCTGCTCTGCGTGGTGCTTCCTCCATAGCTGTCCTATTGGGGTTTTGACAGCTGCCATCGAAGCAGCTTCTCTATGCCTGCTTCGAAGTGGCAGATCTTCATCTTCATCGATTTGCTGTTCTTCTTCATCATCCTGGGAGCTGCGCTCCCCTGCTGACTGGACACTTCATCTGCAGTGGGCTTCTTGAGTGGTGCAGAGGGGTGTTGGATTTAGGAGGGTGTGTGGCGATTGGCAGGCTTGATAGGTTGGGTGCCTTCAGGCACCATAGCTAGAGCTTGAGGAAGAGGGAGGAAGAAGAAGACTCCCAAAATATTCGATGAAATCTTGTAAATAATTTGTCCATGGGTGTTGATAATGTGGTTGGGATTCTTGGAACAAGTATTCTGGATTGATTGGAGGAGGATGAGGGATTGCAGAATTGAAATTCGTTTTTCAATTCTCTGTGTATTTTGAGCTTCCGCTGTGCATATCTCCTCTCTGGTTTTGTGTGGATTTGCCTCCTTCGAGTCTACTCTGAAATTGCATGCGTATATGGGAACGTGTGAATTCGTTGTGGATTGAAGTTCAATCGGGCATATAACATACACACGTGCGATCGTAGTCAAACTTGCTAAACGACGATTGGCAATAATTCAACAACAGTATTATAGAAAATAATGCAGATATTGTACATTCGCAGTGGTATCAAGTTAAACGTTCCAGTTCTGCGACAACTTCGCCGACAAGCATCACCTCCCTTACTTCTCCCGAAACTGTCTCTTCATCTTCTACCACCAACCCGTAGGTGCGAGAGCAACCGGGGTCAGAATGGTTACTATCGCCCTCAAGACTGCTGCCAAAGGGGGTGTGATTAAACCCTAAACCCTAAACCCTATATACTGATTTTCCTACCCTCGCTTACCCTGCGCGCGCCATTAAACTTAACTAGTGCCAACGTCTCGGCAAGACCGAAGTAAGGGCGATGCGCAGAGAAAAGCTAAACCCGAAGAATGGTACCGAAAATTACAGTCCATGCTCATTCTACAGTATAGGCAAAGTAACGATGACGACGCAAAGAAAAATACAAAACCCTAAAAAATGGTACCGAAAATGCAGTCCATATTTATTTATTCTACACAAATTGCGACGAAGCAACCACTATTATTCAAAGCGTGGAACCACTACCGAAACACGGTCCACAAACATTCCTAAGTATGAGATCTGGGAAGTTACGACAGCCTTAACGACTGCGCCGTCAACTTCCAGATATCGTCTTTCTTCCCTCAAATCCTTCGACCACCTTCGAGGAAAAACAGACATGAGAACCCTTTGCCCTGAACTCCCAACGGGCAAGCAGCACCTGGACCGGATGCCTGACCCTGTTCGGTGGTATTGCTGTCAAGTGGCTCATGCCTATGAAAGTAACCGGCCATGGCCTCCACTTTCTGCTTTTCGACTTGTGCAGGACCTGAAATCTTGACCGGTCCTGACGACAAGGGGTCTATTCGACCAAATCGTAGCTTCATTCTTCACCTTCTGCAGGCAACCTGCGTGCGGATAGACCCCTCTCACCCTTAGCCTACCGTCTTCGCCCGAAGAGATCGCCCGGTCATTATCGCTGCATCTGGACCGAAAGTTGTGCCAAATATAATGACCGGGCGTTCTATTCGGGTGAAGACAGTACACCCCAAAAAGTCCCATGTGCCAGTTTGATCATCGGTCCTTTTCAGGGTGAGGTTCTTGGGGTAGCACTTGTCAAACATTTTCCTGATCTTTCTTTGCCCTTCCCGAAACCTTTTGTCAGTGTGTCACCCTTTCTGTAGGCTAAAAATAGTGAAACGTGATCTATTAATAGAATTCCAATCACCGATCGTCTGTAACTTCCCAAGGAGCTCATTGGGTCACCAGCATTACCAGTGTCCAGTTCTCGTATATCCAATAATAATTTATTAATTTATCAACCTTGTTGGGATCCCTACCGATCAGTGATTGTGGTTTGTCCGGTGGCAGCACCATCGATAGGTATCTACTCTGCTACATTCTATTAAAGTTCTACGGTCCTGACCAGACTCTGCCCATCTGTGAGATGGGTGTCCGATCAGCAGCCCGTTTTCCGGCGTCAATGAACGGTGTCCCTGAAAAACGGGGCTGAGAAAGCGTCGGCCAAGAATACTACAGGCCGCGCGACCAGTCTTAACTGCAAAAAGGAAAATGGAAAAGCATACTGTGCTTTCTGTGATGATGGGCCTTGGCGTGCCGCTCACCAACTGCACAAAAAAACAAATTATGGTGGTGTAAGGCGGTGTATCTGTTAGTCTTCCAGGCAACCGGTATCTCAAGGCGGATTTCGTTCCTTTTTCATTTGCCGTTTTCGTACTTGCCTTCTTTTGGCCTTTCGGGGAATTGTGTCCTTGGGCCTCGCCGCATGGCTCACCAAATCTGCAAAATGCAAAAGAATCTTCTGCTAGAATGCAGAAAGATACATCGCCCTAATTTTTGTCTTTTGTGCAGTTGGTGAGTGGCGTGGCAAAGCCCCGGGTAATTTGGATGTACTTTGTTCTGCTCATCCGGTTGCATATCGATGCGAACTTGGGTCCGTATTCCAGTAGTTCATGGGTGTGCTAACTGAGCCACCCTCAAACCAGAAATGTGGACGCACATGCGTTTCCTGGCTGCAGTGGTGTGGAGATTTTCTGTTCTGGAGCGCTGGCAGGACAGGAACGGTGGGCAAAGGGTTTTCGCTACGGTGTCGGCGTTTTCCTTGGCAGTGTGTGTGGGCTGCGTTCAAACAGCCGTGTGGCATCTCTCTCTCTCTCTCTCTCTCTCTCTCTCTCTCTCTCTCTCTCTCTCTCACCGCAGTGTTTGTACAGAATTTTGTTTTCATTTTTTCTGTTTTTAACTTTTTTTAAAAATAAATATTTCAATTTATTCGTTTTTTTTTGTGTTTTTTATTTTTAACTCGAGTTTGGTACAGAATTTTGAGATGAGTCTCAGGCAAAAGTTGCTTGAAGTATCATTTTGCATAACATACTTTTTTTTCAGATTTTTTCGGTTTTTTTTTTTTTTTTTAATGTATTCCTAATTTCCTACGTATGGGAGTACGTGTACACGCGTACGTGTCGCGTACAGGAATACGTGTACACGTGTACGTGCAACACACGTACACGTACGCCGTGCTACCCAGCCACAATCATTGGTTCCTTTCTCATGTTCGATTTTGTTGGCCTGGTTGTGTGTGTCCGCGACGGGAAGTAGATGGGTGCAAACAGAGTGTCGGAGCCTTGGCGATAATGACACCCCTGAAGTTAGTGAACTTCTGAAGACTGCTGCTCGGTCTCTTCGGGAAAGACCTGTCCTGTTCAAGTATTGTGCTGAGGAGGTGAGATTTTTTTGTTTTTCTTGTTTTCCCTTACTCAAGCAAATAGTGGGTCTCGCGTGACGCTCCCACGCAAGACCCGCAACCAGTGTTGGGAAAACGTCGTGGATCCGGGGCGGGCCCAAACAAAGTTCAGTCTGGCGGGCAAAAAAAAACCGTGAGAACCGCGGCTGCTCACGTTCGAATACAAGTACACAGCAGCGCGCCCCACGTGACGTTTCACACTTTTCTTTGTTCCGTGGCGTGCGGATACACATTGTTGGTCTTTTCTTCTTTTTTTTCAGCAGATTCGGGCGATGCGATGTCACAGCCAGCGGGCCTCACTACATGTTTCTTGACACTGAATCCTCTGCTAGAACGTGGAAAGATACATTGCGGGCCTCACTACATGTGTCTTGAGACTGAATACTCGGCTGGAACATGGAAAGATACATTGCCTTTTTTTTTTTTTTGGTGCATGAGTAGTGGAAGTACATAGTGCAACGATGGGCCTCGCTATTCTCGACATGTCCAGAACGAAGGTGAATCATTCCTTAGAACATGGAAAGATACACTGCCACGGATTTTGTCTTTTGTGCATGTCGAGAGGAGCGTGACCGAGCGGAGGCAGGGGAGAGAGAAAGGGGAAGAGATCGAAGCAGGGGGAAGATGGCGACTGGAGAATATGAGCATGGCGGAGCAGTCGGGGTGGTGTTTGGTGGTCTTCTTTTCTTTTCGTGTTTTTTTTTTCTTTTTTTCTTTTTTTTTGTTTTGTTCTGATCTCTGGGCAGGCAGACGATGACGGGGAGGAGGATCTGGAGGAGCGTGGAAAAGCGGAGGAGGGAATGTCAGAGAGGGAGGAGAAGGAGGATCCAGAGGATGACGATGGGGAGGGGGGTCTAGAGGATGATGACGGGAAGGAGGACCTGGAGGATGGTGGCGGAGGAGGGGATGAGGGTGGGAGGAGGTAGATGACGGGGAGGAGGATCTGGGGGATGATGATGGGAAAGAGGATCTGGAGGACGATGGTGGGGAAGAGGATTGGTGTGGGAGGAGGTTGATGACGGGGAGGAGATGGACGATGAGGGGGAGGCGAAGGGAAAGGTAGCTGAGGAGCAGTGTGGCAGAGGAGAAGAATGATGCCGGGGTTCCTTTTCTTTTTTTTTGGTTGCTTTTTTCAATCTCTTTGGGGCAAAGAAAGACGAGGAACGGCAGGGGATGGATCCAACGTGAAGGGAGGAGGAAGGAAGACGAAGGTGGCTCTCTGCTGGACAGACCAAAAGGGGAGAATGTAGCATATCAGAAAGTGAAATGCACTGAGAGCCTAGGATCTAGCAATGACGAAAGCGGCAACAACCAGCAGCATAGGTGCAACATTCACAAGATGTCAATGTGCACGGTGCAAAGGGTGAACCAACGAGAAGTCAACAACACACATTCGTATCATTATCATCATGGGCTGGGAAGCAGCGCAGCGGAAGATTTAGTATCAGAGGACACGTGGACAACAACATGAAAAGGAGAAAACTTCGGAAGGGCAAGACA